CCTAAGTACACTTTTTAGGTATCTATACTTTACTCAATTACTTATTTTTCTTCCTACTTCTGACTTCTACTCATTACATTTTCACACAAGTATCTGTACTTTCTATTCCTTACATTTTTAAAACAAACGCTCTCGTTACTCTCACTGGAAAAACTATCAAGAAATCAGTAAAAATGTCTAAAATTAAGTGCATTTAACCTTCATTTCAGTCGGTAAATGAGATAGTTTGCCAATGGAATTAGTATTTTTACTCTTAAAATAAGATAATTGGATAATATGTTCTTGTAATAAGACAATTTAATGGTGTTTTCTTATTTTAAGTGTAAATTGTCTCGTTCCATTGGCAAAATGTCTGTTTTGCCTTCTTAATCCAAGAACAAATGCGCTTATTTTAAGAAAAAATGACTCACCTAGATTTAAATTTTTTCCAGTGCTTGGCTTCGGTTTAATGTTTCTAAATCTTTATTTCCCATCATGTGCTCCATCCAATGCAGATCATTGGCTCCACCCACATCTAGTGAAAACTAGTGTGATTGGATGAGTCATAGAACGCAAACACTCATTGGTTAGCTAAAGGAAATCATCAGAAGCAAGCAGGTGTTCTTCAAACTGCTAACGTGAATTGTCTATGCCATGCTACAATGTGGGATTCAGAAAAAGATGTTGAAATGTCTGAAAGGTCGGACACAGGCGAGAGCGTATCGGGAGACGGAGACCAACAAGACCTCCCTCATCCTTGGCCCTATCTCAGAGAATTTTCTTCCAAATAGTCGTCAAATTGAGTTTTCAGTTCATATAGTGCCATCTGGCTGTTTTTTTTAAAGGTTACTTTATACTTTTATACTTTAAGTAGTTTTTGGACCACATACTTTTTCACTTTTACTTGAGTGAAGAGGTCAAGTTGATACTTCAACTTTTACCAGAGTGTTTTTTAAACTGAACTTTTGACACCACGGCTAGTTTTACAGAAAGTACACTCTTTAGATTTGGGAAATAACCCCTCAGCTTCTTTCAGAGTCAAATAAAATAATTTTATAATTTAAAGATTTTTCTTAGCCAGTTTTTTCTCTAATGACATCTAGATATATACATAGAATTTGGATAGTTTTAAAGAAGACTTATTACGAAATCAGACCATGTGAAACTACACTGGAAAAAAAATCTATATCTAGATAAGTCATTTTTTCTTAAAATAAGTGCATTTGTTCTTGAATTTAGGAGGTAAAAGAGACATTTTGCCAATGGAGCAAGATGATATACATTTAAAACAAGAAAACACAATTGCATTGTCTTATTTCAAGTGAATTTTATCTAAATATCTAATTTTAAGAGTAAAAATAGTAATTTAGTTGGCAAATCTTCCCATTTGCCTACTCAAACTAAGGGTAAGTAAACTTAATTTAGTGTAAAACTTTTCCACTTAAGGAGGCTTGATAGAGCAGATTGACAGATGACATTTTATTTTATTTTTTTATCTTAAATGTAAAATGTTCATATATTTTTCTACAATTTAGGTATGATTACTGCTTTAATTAATTTGTACATTGGAGTAACTTCGCTGTCATTCATACATGCCTTTACGCAACATTTTGCAAATGTCTCTTATTTTGTCCACACCTTTATTTTTGGTACTATGGTCACTGGAAAAACGATCTAGAAATAAGTAAAGGTTTCTTAAATTAAGTGTATTTACACTTAATTTGAGTAGGTAAATGAGATAGTTTGCCAATGGAATGGAAATTTTTACTCTTAAAATAAGATAATTAGATAATATGCACTTAAAATAAGAAAATGCAATTGTGTTTTCTTATTTTAAGTGTAAATTGTACTTGCACTTATTTTAAGAAAAAACGACTCATCTAGATTTTAATTTTTTTCAGTGGTGTTCAGCTAATGGATTAGTCAAAGACTTTTACATGCCGGCACAATCCTAAGAAAAGCTGCTGTCTGGACAGCTGTACAACAGGCAGAAAGTGAAAGGAAAGTCCCCAAAAGGTTTAATAAACAGGCAGCACACTGAGGAACTTCAAATAAATATATAGGGGAAGGGAATAATGAGATAGATGAAGGTTTAACAGAAATAAATAGTGAATTGTCTTGGTTTTATCTCTGAGTTTTCATTGGTCTTATTTCCATTTTTTGTGTTCTTTTTATTTTTGATTGTATTTGAGTTCTTAGATATTTCCTGTTTGCCCTCTTGTGTCAGTCTCCTTTTCTCACTGCAAAAAATCTAACTCTAGATAAGTCCGTTTTTCTTAAAATAAGTGCATTTGTTCTTGAATTGAGGAGGTAAAAGAGACATTTTGCCAATGGAACAAGACAATTTACACTTAAAATAAGAAAACACAATTGCATTGTCTTATTTTAAGTGCATATTATCTAATTATCTTATTTTAAGAGTAAAATAACTCATTCCATTGGCAAACTGTCTCATTTACCTACTCAAATTAAGGGTGAATACACTTAATTTAAGAAAGTTTTACTTATTTCTAGATCGTTTTTGCAGTGCTCCCAGCTCCCTTCTTGCCTCCTCTGTTCCCACCTGCTCCCAATCGGCTAATTGGCCTGGTCTTTGTTATTTTTAGACTTTTGTGGATTTATGTTTTTGGAGTTTTACTTCTGATGAACTTTTTTTTAATTAAACCTTCAAGTAACCACCTCAAGTTTTTGTGTCTGCATTTGGGTCCGGTCAAACCTCCAGCCCCACCTTGACACAAAAATATTTCATCATTTAGAATTAGTTGGTCAATTTTAATTCAAACCCATTGTCCTTTAGTTTGAAATATTTAAAGTAAAAATATCATCTGTCATGTTTAATATTCTGTCATATTAAGTTGTATATTCTCATACACTGGAAAAACAATCTAGAAATGAGTAAAAATGTATTAAATAAAAATTATTTAACCTTATTTTGAGTAAGTAAATGAGCTAGTTTGCCAATGGAATGAGTATTTTTACTCTTAAAATAAGATATTTAGATAAAATGCACTTGAAATAAGACCTTGGAACGGTGTTTTTCTTATTTTAAATGTAAAATGTCTCTTTTACCTTTTCAGTTCAAGAACAAATGCACTTATTTTAAGAAAAAATGACTTATCTAGATTTAGATTTTTCCGGTGTACTCACTGGTGTAGGTAGTGATTTTATTAGACCTTTGCAATCTGCTCTTATGTTCATTTGGTATTTTCTCCACCTTTGCCTCTGAGAGTTTGGACAAAACGGTGAAATTGACAGGTCTGTCTGCAGGGGGTTATTAATGAGACCGGGTCTTTTTGCTGCATTAATTAGATAAAAACAGCTCCTGCTGCTCACTTTTATCCAAAGATAGCTTCCACTACTGTCATTACTGTGATTTTAACACCGACAATAAGTTTTAATGAGGTTTAACAAATGTTCTCCTGTTGTTATTGACCTGATCTATCTTGGCGTGTATCTGGAGCATGTTCCCTAATGGGAAAAATATGGATTCCTGCAGGTTGAGCACTGTTTGTGTCAGCTGGCAGGGTTTGCAGATCTAACACCTTTGTTCACTGCCTTGGCAATTTGTGCAATTTAGTGCAGAAAGCCCTAAAAAGAAAAAGGCTACGACGTAGTTGGACAAAGACATGGCTGAGCAAACGTGGCTACTATGGTCTGTCAGTTTTACAGAAAATCTCCCTTTCATTCATTGCCCCCCCTTCTCATCTGAAAAAAGAAGAATCCGATTTGCCCACGACCGCCTTACGATTGCCGACTGAATTTCAAATGTTTGATTTTCTCCTGACCTTACGATTTCTGATGGGGAGGTGGTCGTTAGAGGCTGATCGTCCCTCGTTACCCCCTGTACACTACACCACGCACCATCAGGCTGATTGAAAAATTCTTGCCCGACTGGAGAATCGGCCCAAAAATCGTACAATGTATACCCGAATTTATATTTCCTGACACACAAACAATGAAAGCTCAGAGCAAGTTTGCAGTGTTCCATTGAAGTCTTGCTCTCTGTCACACTCGCTCAGCCTGATACTGCGTTCACACCGGACGCAGCAGAAGCAGCGAGTTGACATGCAAAGTCAATGGTTGACGCGCGTCAAGGCGCAGCAAAATGTCCCGCGGCGCGTTTTGAGCAGCTGAAGCAGCGCGTCAGGAGCGTTTAAGCATCTGACGCGCATGACGCGCCGCATCAACCAATCAGAGAAGCTGATCTGGGAGCTAGCCGTGAGACAGACACATCGCTGATGATACAGAGCGCTGTGATCACTCCTCTGAAACAGTTTATTGACGCATAAATTAACTTACAATGCTGAAAACTGACAGAATATGTTGGCTTTTATTATCCTGCTGCCTGCAGTTTGGATTATTTAGATGAAAAACACCTACCACCTGCCGCGGTGAACCGCGAGGAGGCGACCCGGCCAGAGGCTGCTTTTGAATGGGATTCCTACTGACAGCGCAACGCTGGTATGTGGGGGTCTGAGCGGCTTCGACAGAAATAATCTTGGAAGGCAGGATGGTAATGACTGGATGAACTGACTGCACTGATTAAGTTTTCAGGTGGATTTTCTCACTTAAAAACATATTAAAACTACTTTATTCCCACTGATCACAGCAAATATAGCTGCAAGGCAAAGAATGGATAGAGTAGCTCCGCCCAACACGCGTCAGACACACTTTTTGCACAGCAAAGCTGCTTCAGCCGCGCGTCAGAACTAACTGGTACAAGCAGCAAAAATTAAGCAGCAGACGTGATTTTGCTGCTCCTGCTGCGTCCGGTGTGAACGTAGCATGAGTCTTTCTAAATAGCTTTCTATACCTTCTGTCCTTCCCTTGACTTCCTCACTGATGATGAGTGTAGCTGATGTTCAGTAATCACCTACACTCACATACTTGGTTTTGGTTTTAATTGCAGCAACTGAACATCAAAGCCCAAACTGGGATTTGTACCCACAAACCCACCTATTTATTGCTCCACTCAGTGATTAATCAAAGACCTACCTGTCCTTCTCCTCTTTTCCCTGCAGCATCTCTGTGGGTGTAGGTTTCTATGGCAACAGTGAGACCAATGACGGCGTGTACCAGCTGACCTACTCCCTGTACAATGCCAACCACACCCTGGGTGGTGTCGACAGCCTGGTAGGTTCAACAGTGAATGCCTTATAATGAAGCGACACGATGAGGGGGTTGACCCAGAAGAGACCGGTTTCAGGCTGTATTTAGAAAATGTCATTTTTAGCTACCAAACACACACCTGAGCAAAGGGAAAATCTCAAAGGAACCTAGCTTACTGTGTCTTTTATGGTTGTTTAGTCTTTTCTATGATATTTGTTGTGTTTTTTTGTTTATTATAAATCCAATGTTGACAAATTGACACACTGTAAACACACCAAAAAGCTCCCAAAGTCCCTGTGGTCTCAGCGAAAGACAAAGCACTCCACTCTCCCCCACTCGGCTTGTGTGAACATGATGTTATTTTTACCCTCCCATCACTCAGATGTCTACATGAAGGTTACAGCTATAACATTTCCTAATAATGAAGTGGCATTTTTTCTGCTTTAGATCAGATTTTGACTAAAATTCACCCTCAGTACTGTTTCCTGTTTGCATTAAAAGTTTCTGTGTGCTCTTATCAAACACAATAAGGAAGTCCTATTTAAATTTTTAAATATTTTGGCTTAAACATGTATATAAATGTACTCTTTATCAGAAAATATATATATTTTTTCCGTTATCTTCTGCAGGCCAGTTAGTTCTACGTCAGCCTGAACACCTAAATTCGGCCAATCATATATCAACGGTCATCTGTCAATCACATTTTTTGGTCATAGCATCTTGATTCATATGTCGCAGCTAATATACGCAACGGTTGAAACCAGAATCCTTTCCTTTCCCATTGAGTTGCGTCCCAGTGTTCACGGGGATGGACGTCTGTGTCTTCGGCAGGCGTAGAGCTAAATGAACTGGCAGCGTTGCGAGGCAAGGGCTCAAACATGTACGGCTGGAAGCCTTCTACACCAAACCAAGCTTCTGCCGCCCTGGCGTCCTCTTCCACAACATCTTCGTCCCCGCTCTCCTCCTCTAAATAAAAAATGGATGACGGAGGAGACTCATCCACGACCTCCGACACTAAACTCTCCTCCTCTTGCATGTTTCCGCTGTCCATAGCGTTCCTTGACAGCGTCGTTTCTAAGTCACCAATTTAGTGCTACTTGGTCCCAATGGAATTTCCCATTGGGAACCTGCTAGCACTAAGTTGCTAACTGGTTAGCAAGATGCTTCCAACAAACTGGCCACAATCAAACTTGCTTGTTGACCTTCCGCCACAACAATCCCGCCCCCTTGATAAACGACCAATCACATTCACTTTATTCACTTGTGTAAAGTCGGGCACCACTCGGGGGAATCCAGAACTGCAACTCAGGAGCTGCAGCCACTTTCCTATGACTTAAATTCAAATAAATTAAGTAGTTTATAGTAGTAGTAGTAGTAGTCAATAGTCCAGCCTTGAAGTAACAAATGCATGGACTAGTTTCTCAGCATCACCCCTGGACAGGAGATTTCAAATTTTTGCAATGTTCCTCAGATGAAAGAAGGAAATTCTAGAAACCTCTTTGATCTGGGATTTAAATGACAGGTCCTGATCAAAAACAACACCAAGATTTTTTACTTTATTATCTGAAATCAGTTTAATCCCATCCAAATGAAGTGACTGACTAATCAGCTTCTTTCAAAGACTCTGGTCCAAAGACTATAACTTCTGTTTTGTCCGCATTCAGAAGCAGAAAGTTAAGAGTCATCCAGGTTTTTATGTCTTCAGACATGCCTGTAATCTATGTAATGGGTTAGCTTCATCTGGATTTATAGACAGATATAGCTGGGTATCATCAGCATAACAGTGGAAATTAATCCCATGCTGTCTAATAACTCTACCGATTGGGAGCATGTATAAAGTAAAGAGAATTGGTCCTAGCACTGATCCCTGTGGTACTCCACAGGTAACCTTTGAGCATGAGGAAGATTTGTCATTAATATGAACAAACTGAAATCGATCAGATAGATAAGATTTAAACCAGTCTAGAGCTGTTCCTTTAATTCCAACAAAATATTCAAGTCTTTCTAAAATAATATTATGATCAACTGTTTCAAATGCAGCACTGAGATCCAATAAGTCCATTATCTGAGGCCATGAGAATATCATTAGTGACTTTCACCAGAGCTGTTTCAGTGCTATGATGAGCTCTAAAGCCAGACTGAAACTCTTCAAAAAGTTCACTTCAAAAGATCGCACACTTGTTTGGCAACTACTTTCTCAAGAATTTTAGATTAGAAAGGAAGATCGGATATAGGTCTATAATTGACCAAGTCATTTGGATTAAAGTTGCATTGCAGCAAGAAGGTTCCAGGTTCGATTTCTGGTCTGGGGTCTTTCTGCTTGGAGTCTGCATGTTCTCCCTGAGCATGCGTGGGTTCTCTCCGGGTACTCCGGCTTCCTCCCACAGTCCAAAAACATGACTGTTGGTTAATTGGCTTCTCTAAATTCTCCTTAGGTGTGAGTGTGTGTGGAAATGGTTGTTGGTCCTGTTTGTCTCTGTGTTGTCCTGCGATGGACTGGCGACCTGTCCAGGGTGGACCCCACCTCTTGCCCAGAGACAGCTGCACCAGCAGCCCCCGCTTGGGACAAGCATGACGGAAAATGGGTGGATGGATGAAATAAGAAATGTTTGTCCTTAAACAGGGAAGAGATCACAGCTCATCACAAAAGCAGCATTTTGTTTAATTCTTGCAAATGTTGAGAATAATCTCAGAGAAAGACATCCGTCTAAAAAGCGTTCAGTATGTCCTAACCCAGGGGGGGAAAAACCTGCTCGCATAAGACATCAGTTGACCGTTTCCACTTATACAAAAAGAACAAACCACAACTGCGCCATAAGTTGTAAAAGATATCATGACCGTTCATTTTGTTATCAAACTGCAGTCATGAGAACATCTTCTGTACATGACATAGTGAATGGCTTTATCAGGTCATCACATCATGAACAAAACTCCGTGAAATAGTTTTAGAACAAAACATATTCAATGTTGATGCATAACTGGACAGAACGTAAAGCATTTGTTCCAGAGAGTCATAGGATTTTTAAAGACAATGTTAAATTAGTCATGAGACTGAAGGGGAAAAACAGGCACAAATACATTTTACCATGCCTTTGCTCTTTGTTATTTCAACTTCAAACTCTGATTCATGTGAGACAAAGTGTGACATTTTCTTTGGCCTCACTCTTTCTTTGAGCAATTCATCTACTGCTCCTAGAGGACCAGGTCTCAGGGGCAGCAAAAATCCCCAGACCTACATTTACTGTCACAATCTGATATGTTCTCTTATTGGAGGACAGGCTTTCCTAACCAGGTCAGGAAATCAAATCCCTCCAATAAGGACCAGTTCTGAGGTGACATAGTGAAAACATTTTGAGAAGGTTTTGGTTGGCTTGGGAGTATTTTGAAACGTGCAGCAGGACTGCGACAGCAGGCCGCAGTGAAGCAAATTCCAATAATGCTTTGCAAGAAGAGCTCTCCACGCAAAGCATTCTGGGATATATCTGCCCGTCTAGTGACAATGGATGATCACTACTTTTCTAGGTGTATTGTGGGAAATTTCGAGTCCTCTACTTTTTCACCCACTAGACCAGAGGTCGTGGATTAGTGGACCGGGGTCGGGATCCAGACCCAACCTGATTTAAAACATTTATAAATTACCTCATGTTGTAAGACGACAGTGTCTAATTTCCCTTGCGCCTCTTCTCCTGTTAATACGGTAAAGCCCTGGGGAGCGTCCGGCTCCAGGCTGCACGTGATCCAAATGAGCCAATGAGCTGTCAGTCTGGGTTGCTGCTGCTGCTACTTTTAGACACAGCAGGCAAACCTGTGGCAAGCCGGGCGATGGGAAAGAAGGAGAAGACCATGAGAAAAAGAGAGCAGAGAAAGTGTGGACTGCTGGAAGAACTGCGGTGAACTGGTGAAAGAAAAGTGAAATGGCGTGCTCAAAGATGACCCTGCACATTTAGAGGATGTTTGGCTCAACCTGCTGCTGTGTGCCGTGCAGCCAGCCACGGCAAAGTTGATCTGGCCATGGGCGTCAGGGATCTGAGGCCCCAGGGGCACCCCACCCCCCAGCGGGAGCAGCGGGGGCCCCGCAGAGTAGCCACCAGGAATAAGCCAGTACCCGTCCGGGCATCCACCCCAAAACACCAAGCACCACCAGTGCACCGCCAGCCAGCGGAGGGAGAGCAGTATGGGAGGAATGGGCTCCGCACTTAGTGAAGACTTGAGATGTTCTTGGGAGAGGGAGCAGTTCAGACCCCAACGTGACAAAAGAAAAAAAAAGAAAAATACACAGTCTCAATCGCACCTTCCCACCCTAGTACCACGCTCACTACATACAGTCTCTATGAAGAGCAGCAAAAAAAGTGGTGTTCCTGCTTCGGGCCGGGCCCCCCACTCCTCACCCGGACCAGTTATTGAGAAACGGCCATAGTAAACCCTAACCAACCCTTTCTTGTCTGTCCCCAAAAGATTTCCCTGGAAGAAAAACACTAAACTATAAATACTTACCAAAACTATGTTTACGTATAGCCAGTATACTCAATTTTAACTCCTGAATAACACAAAATATCTACTTGATGTAACTATGGTCTGTACCACGAGACTTTTTAGACACGCCTTATTCTAAATCAGCTAAAACATTGACATCAAATTTGCTTTTGGCCAATTCCTTGAGCTAGGAATGAATGCAATTTTTTTACATGACCTACAATTCAATTTAAATAAAGGTTTGCTGGCAAAACTGTTTACATCACTTTTAACTTATGTTTTCTAACGTTTAAAATATGTTACTTTCTTTGGATTTAAAGTTAATAATGCAAATGTAAAACCAATAAAAAAAAGCAAAATCTACAACTTTTACGTCAAATTATCAACCGAATATAAGGAAAAAATATAAGTATGGAATTATCAATACTGTGTGCTCTTATCAAACACAGCTCTTTAAAGTTGTAGGGAAGTCATTTTTAAATATTAAATAAGTCTGGCTTAAGCATGTAAATAAATCTACTCTTTATCAGACCATACTTTTTTTTTTCTCG